CCTATTGGGAGCATGGGGCCATTTGCCTTGGATTGATTTGGGGAGAATTTCATCTCCGTGAGCATCAGTTTTACCATCCACAAAATGTAATAAAGTGCTCATTAGTTGATTCTCAGAGTGTAAAATAACGAGGCTGGTCTCAAATGTGTGGGCCAGTGAAGTGTACCATCATGGAATCCAGAGTTGGGTTCAGAACCAACTGAAGGTCATGGTTCAGCAACATGGTGGAGACAACCAGGATCACTCATGTACTTCTCCTTCAGCTTATTTGTCCTCTCTTCTCCCCTTGAATATATGAAAGCCCTGGGGAAAGATCACATGTTCCATTTTCGGAAGCAAACAGTTCATTCTTCTTTGAGTACTTGAGTTTAGTTCTGAAAATTCTCTCTTGTGGGTAGGGGTTGTCCTTTACTGCTTTTTGAAAAGTCTGCACTCTTACCAGCAGCCATAAAAGATAATTGTACCTTTTTGTCTAAAAGAACTAATTTCAAAGATGTTTAGCTCCCAGCAAAGAACTCTGACTGCTGCCTTCCTTCTGTAACTGGAAATTGTCCCCCTCACGCAGGCAGGAGCCCTCTTCTAGACCCCAGTCATACTGCTGACAGGCGATAAGGGAGAAAAGAGACCTAATGCAGTGTGCAGCAGTGTTTCCAATTCCTATGGGACACAGCTTTCCTGTGTATAATGTGTCTTCGGAGATCAGTTATACATGCTTGTGGTGAATGAATGCAATTTTGTTTAAAGTGCAAAAACAAATCCTCCAGGAAAGACCCAGGGAGATGATAGCATGGAAAGGTTCCCATGACACACTTTCAAAAATAAAAATCAAAGACTTTGCTTCTCTGCACACCCTGGCCTTGCTGACTAGCCTAGATTTTGTAAATCCAAAGACCAATTTAAAGGAAGATCCAATTGTTTAACTTACATTGACATTAATCTCTCCCCACCATTGTGTGTACATATAGACACATGGAAGAATTTTCCTTGTGTAACACAAATACATAGCCTTAGAAAAAAATCAGCCTGTTTTGTAACAGAATATTTTCATTGTAATATATTTTTCAATATATTTTAAAGCCAATATATTAAAATGAAAGGCACCATGTCTGATTATTTTGAGAATTCATTTACAGGAATATATATATGGCACCTTACATTATAATCTTCAATAAATGCTTACTAATTTAATTAATATCACTTTTTATTAAATCACTTTTTATTTTACTATTATGCAATGTACTTTATAACAATAACACTGCCTCAAATGTATTGGCCAGCCACTGTTTGAAACCATTGTGTATTCAACCCTGTGGAGTTCCTATTATTATTATTATTATTCAATTTTAAAGATTAGGGAACTGAGGCTTAGAGAGGCTAGGTGATTTAACTAAAGCCATCAGGTCAGGACTCATCCTTACATGAAAGTCTTCTGCATCCAGGACAGGGTCCCGGCTTAATGGACCTTGTACCTGCGATGCCCTGGTTACCTGCTGGTGGGTTTTGAAGTTAACTGAATGGGTGAGTTCACTTGAGTGGAGTGTCGTCTCTTAAAGCCAGAAGGGTTGCACTGTAACATGTTTACCAGGGCAGCCCTATCATCTAAAGCCAATGAACAGTACAGAAGAAAAAAAAAGGTCAACTGCAGAATTATTACTAAAAAAGAGGAGGAAACAGGCATGTTGTTTGGATAAAATGTGAAATATACTAAAATTGGTAGACACTATTTTTGAAATACAATTTCCCTGCATCAAGAAAATGTAATATAAACAAGAAACTCATATAAAAAAAAGAACTGAGAATGGTAAAACACATTGGATACAGTCCTTGTGCCCTAATTTGATGGAATAGCTCTTCTTTTCTGCAATGTGATGGAGTGGGAGCTTGAGACATCTACCTACTTCTACCATCTTGATGGATCCACTGAGTAATGGATCTCATCCTACTTCTCAGAGGCATTTCATATGCTTCATTACTCCTTAAATTCTTTAAATACCTCCTGCTTGGCCTCTAGAACACGCTACTTCCTTGGTTTTCTTTCTACATCACTGGCCTCTCCTTCTTTGTTCCTTTTTTCGAGATGCTTGTGCACCCTCTGGTTCTGAGATGGTGGAATGCATTGACCTTCTCCTATACATTCAGCATCATGGCTTTAATACCAATCAAACCCTGATGATTCACAGATTCCTCAACTCTTCCCTTGTCTTTGGCATATCTAAGTCACCTAACTGACATCTCTATGTGGATGTTTAATATCTCTCTCAAACTTAAGCCAGCCATAGCAGAACTCTTGATTTTCTCCCATGTATTAGGTATCTATTATTGTATAACAAATCATTCCAAGATTTAATGGCCTGAAACAACAATAGACACTTATCATCTCACACAACTTCTTGGGCCAGGTCTCCCATGAAATTAGTTATCAATTGCTCTAACACGAGCTATCTCCTGGGAAAAAGAGAAAAAAATGATGATTAACAAATTACTCCCCAAACTTAAAATAACAAACATTAGTCTCTGTTGGTTGGGAATTTTGGAGGGCTTAGTTGGTCAGTTCTGTCTTAGCATCTCTCATGAGGTTACAGTCATCTGTTGGCTGGACTGTGACTGGAGGATCCATTTTTAAGATGGCTCACATGGCTGTTGGCTTAAGAATTACGTTTGTAGCTAACTCTTAGCAGGAGGCCTCCTTTTCTCACCACATGGACCTCTCCATAGCATTCTTGAGTGTCATAATGACATGGCAGTTGCAAAAAGCCAGAGCAAGGGATCTGAGTGACAGAAAAAACACTACAAGCTTGTTTTGACTTAGCCAAAAGAAGAAGAAGGAGGAGGAGGAGGAGAAGTACTTATCATGACTTTTCCCATATTCTTTGATCACTCAGATCATCTAGATACTATGTGGAAGAAGACCATACAGAGTGTAAATATTGGGAGTCAGGGAACATCAGGAGTCAACTTGAAGGCTCATTGCTACTATACCCACAAGCCTATTCCTGCCCCTGGGTCCTCATCTCATTAAGTGGCCTGTTTTTCAAGCCAGAATCCTGTGAGTCATCTTGATTCTTCTCTTTCAACTTCTCCTCCAACCCATCATCAAATCTTTGCAACTCTACTTTCAAGCCCTATCCTTGTTCCCACCATATCTTACCCCATATACAGTAACCATCCTAATTTCAGCCCTCATGGATTACAGCAGTTAATTTACATTACAAAATATATTCTCCTTCATCAGCCGGAGAGAGCCAGACAATGTTACTCCTCTCGGTTTGGTAACCTCCATTGGCTCCTAATTCATTCAGAGCCAAAGCCAACATCCTTGCCAAGGCCTCCATAATCTTCCCTCTAGCTCTGCTCTCTTTCTGAATCTCCCTCCCTCCACTCTACTGGAGACTTCTTGCTGTCCCTCAAAGGTTCCAAGTCTGGATCTGCCTAGAATCCCCTATGTGCTTTTCTCTGCCTGGACCATCCCAAATCCAGACAACAATGGTGGTGGTTCCTTCACATCATCCAAATTTATGCTCAAAGGTACCCCTTCACAGAGGCCCTCCATGACCATACTATCCAAGATGGTACCCCATTACTCTCAACCCTCTTAGTCTGTTTTATTATAAATTTCTTCATGTCACTTAAGAATGAACTACATACTATATATTTATTGACTTCCTTATTTGTTATTTGTCTCTTGTTCTAGAATATAAATTCCAGGATGGCAGAAAGATCATCTATTTGGATATTTGGTTAACACTTCTCCAGCATTTGAAAGGGTGCCTAGCATACAGCAGTTGCTCAAATATTAGTATGTTGAATAAGTGGATAAATTCACTAAGTGGGGACAATCATTTTACCTAGAACAGTGCTGTCCAGTAGTCATTACTTCAGTGGAGGTCATGATCTATGGGAATGATATCTGATGTGATGGTTATTTTATACTGAAAATATAGTTAGTATGACTGAGGAACTCAATTTTTTATTTTATTCTTATTGACTTCAAATAGCTATTCTTATTGACTTCAAATAGCTATGACCATCTTATAACTACCATCTTAGAGTAGATATAGATCCTTACAGTAGATGGCAGGAATACAGGGGCAAGTTAATGTCATTCTATGCATATCACAACAAAGAGACAGGAATTTCTTGGGGTGCTGTGTTAAGAAGGAGGCTGAGGTCAAAATCAGCTAATCATTTTTGAGTACCACCTATGTAACTAGTACTGTGTTGTCATAGGGTCTTATTAAAAAAAAAAAAAAAAGGATACATTGATCCATTAGCACTTTCTGGCCTGGACAAGAAGGTGAACATGGTATGATGTGGTTTGTGTACAATTCCAGTGATGAACAGGGCTCTTTCCTGATCCTTTCCAAAGAAGTGATTTTTGGGACCTACACCTACAATCCTATAAGAATGGTCCCCTTACTTGGACTTCCCTTCCCATTCTTTGCTAAATTCCCTCCACCCACTCTTCAAAATCAGAGTGGAATGTTCTTTGCTGCCATCCCTTTGGGAGCTGGCCAAATATACAGATTTCATGCATACACCTGCAAATTTTGGTTGCTTTCAGTTATATTTGTACTTACTTGGCAATACGGTTACATTCATTTTCCTTATGGTCTACACCAAAGCAAAAGCTGCTTAGTACCAAGAGTCATGTTCTCCCTTGTACAGATAGATGTACTATGTTATGTATGGATAGTACATAACATTTTTAAGTCTGTGAGTTCAAAAGCATGGAAAAGGCCTCCTACCCCTGAAATTCTTGCTCAAAATACTGAACAAGAAAATACTGTTAAGCCACAAATACACCTGGGAAAATTACACATGAATTAAAACTCCCCCTGTGTTGTACACTGATGGGAGAAGACTCTTTCTTAGTGTAACCAGTACTGTTGGTGCCCCAATTATATCTTTTCATCACCTATTGTTGACCTTCATTCTACCAGCTGACCATTCCCATTTGGATCCAGCATGTGAATCTTTTCCATCCATGTCTGTCTTTCCAGGTGGATTATGATCGAGCACAGATGGTCCTCAGTCCTCCACTGTCAGGGTCTGACACCTACCCCAGGGGTCCCGCTAAACTACCTCAAAGTCAAAGCAAAGCAGGCTATTCCTCAAGCAGCCACCAGTACCCTTCTGGGTACCACAAAGCCACCCTGTACCACCACCCTTCCCTGCAGACCAGTTCTCAGTACATCTCCACAGCCTCTTACCTGAGCTCTCTCAGCATTTCATCCAGCACCTACCCCCCACCCAGCTGGGGCTCCGCCTCAGACCAGCAGCCCTCCAGGGTGTCCCATGAACAGTTCAGGGCTGCTCTGCAGCTGGTAGTCAGCCCGGGAGACCCAAGAGAATACTTGGATAACTTTATCAAAATCGGAGAAGGGTCAACAGGCATCGTGTGCATCGCAAGCGAGAAACACACGGGAAAGCAAGTGGCGGTGAAAAAAATGGATCTTCGAAAGCAACAGAGGCGAGAATTGCTTTTTAATGAGGTAAATGGTGTGTTTGGATCATCCTTTCTCTCCAGTGTAACATTTATATCCCATTTCAAAAACAGCACGTGTACATTTGAGGACATTAGAAAGGCACCCACATAATCTTTTCTACTTGTCTTTTTCTATGTGTGTTTGGCTGTCACTTTTATAAAGTACTTCATGCATGTCAGTCACTGTGCTAAGCATTAATTTAGTTGGACCTCACAACCTCATGAGTCAGAAAGTGTTCTCACTATTTCAGCAACAAGGAAACTTGGGCTCAGATTAAGTGACCCTCCCAAGGTTATGCAGGAAGTTGACCACAGACCTGTGATTTGCATTCCTTTCTCCACTGTCTACAGCTGTTCATAGATCAACCTTCACATCTGTAGGAAATTGGTTCCAGGATCCCCTCAGACACAAAATCTGTGAATTCTCAAGTCCTTTACATAAAACAGTATATAGTATTTGCATATAGTCTATGCATATCCTCCTGTATACCTTAAAGCATCTCTAAAACCCAATGTAATGTAAATGCTATGTAAGTAGTTTTTATATTACATTGTTTAGATAATAAAAGTAAAGGGAACAGTCTGTACATGTTCAGTACTGATGCATTTTTTTTTTTGAGAGTGAGAGAGTGAGAGAGAGAGAATTTTTTTAATATTTATTTTTTAGTTTTTGGCGGACACAACATCTTTGTATGTGGTGCTGAGGATGGAACCCAGGCCGCACGCATGCCAGGCAATCGCGCTACCGCTCGAGCCACATCCCCAGCCCCACTGATGCATTTTTTAAAAAATCATTTTCTATTCACTATTGATTGAATCCACAGATGAAAATCTCAGGGAAGCAGAGGGACAACTGTATACATGTTATATTGTTGTGATACTATTTATACCCTTTATAACCTATTTTTGTAAGTCAGTAAACTGAGGTTTAATCAATGGCCTGTCATTCTTTAGGAACTTTAAAATATTTTTTTTCTTAACTATAAAAAATTATGATTTCTTCCTGCAGAAGGTATGGAAAGCATAAGAAAGTGTCCCACACAATTCCACAAGCAAGCAATGCCTACATTAAGATGTTAGTGCTTTTTTAAATATTTTTTCTACTTATATAACTCTTTTCTTTAGGATAATTCTATATGTGTACTTTGGTAACTTTCTTTTTTTATTTTTTATTTATAAATAATAATAGAATCTATTTTGATATGTTTATACAAGCATGGAATATTTTATTCTAATTAGGACCCCAGTCTTGCCAAGGCATACCACATTGAGATTCATTGTGGTGTATTCATATATGTACATAGGAAAGTCATGTCAGATTCATTTCATTGTCTTTTCTATTCTTATCCATATTCTCTTCATTTCCCTTTGTTGAATCCACTGAACTTCTACTCTTCCCCTCCCTGCCCCTTTATAGTTTAGTAACATTCAAATTTCAATTACTATTAACATTAAGTTGATATTAATAAAAATTAAAATAAGATATATATTAACATGTTTTCTTTTCTACATGTCAAAACATCATTTTCATGGCCAATAATTTTTTTGTCACATATATGTGTCAAATTTACTTCCAGTTTCTGATTTTATTGTTTCTAATTTGAGACTTTTATAATTTTGTAGTGAATATTGTTAACACATGTTTTTGGCCTCATAACTGATAATTTCTTTAGATTCATAGAAGTGGAATTAACAGATCTAATGATATATCATATTTTAGGGAAATGACATATAGTATTTCCAGAAAGTTCATACCAATTGGTATCCTCACCAGTAGACCTATTTCACCTTCACTAGCATTACCAGATACTATCATGTTATCTCTGTTAATTTGATAGATATGAATAAATTGTACAGTAAGTTTATAGGGCACATCATATTACTTTGTACACACAGCTCTTGTTATATTAAAGAAGCCTTTTATGTATATTTGTTGTACATATTCTTCCACTTTCTAATCTACCTTTTCAGCCACTAGAGAACAGCCAGCCAAATTCCACCAAAACAAGTCAAAAATTATCTTTCTCATTCATCCAGGTTGTGATAATGCGGGATTACCACCATGAAAATGTGGTGGACATGTACAACAGCTACCTGGTTGGAGATGAGCTCTGGGTGGTCATGGAGTTTCTAGAAGGTGGTGCCTTGACAGACATCGTTACTCATACCAGGTACATTTCTTTATTATCCAGGCAGATAATTCAAGGTGCTTAATATTCTCCTCCAAGGTAAGGTCTCAATGACTGTCTTCTCAACTCTTCATAAATTGTAAACTCTTTGGAATCAAGGAACACAACTTCCTTTTCTCCTATGTTTCCCAGATTTCTCATTGTTATATCTTGCATGTGTAGTCCATTCATTAAATTAACATTCTACCTACCCTAAGAAGGTTATTAATACCCAATTATTATTATTATGGGGTTTTTTTTGCTTTTTTGGTGTGTTGGAATTGAACCTTGCTGGTGCTAAGCATGCACTTTACCACTGAGCTATAACTATAACCCTGCCATTGATTTAAAAATCAGCAATCTGCAAAGGGACAAACAACAAAAGTGCTCATTACCAACTAGAGTTGAAATACTGAGTTGTCATGCCATAATACCACCCCATGAACCTAAGGAAGGAAAGGGCGGGTAGAAGATCAAAGTTTAATGTTAGAAAGCAAGCCTCCTAAGAGAAAGAAATTCTTCAATTCTGGTTTAAACCAGTCTTGCAGTTTTGTTAATGCCTAAGAAATTTTTTGTAAGAATCCATGGAAGTAAATTTGTACTAATGACCCCAGAGCTGAAAAACTGAGGTCTCATTCTTTTGATTTATGCTGGACCTCTTTAATTTTTGACACCAAACCTGTGTTCTGGCAATCAAGCCAGAACCTTCCTTTTGTTTGTCTGCAGATTTTCCAGATATGGGCTGCAGTACATGGACTAATTCTCCAGAACACAAAAAAGTAACCTCTCCTGAGAATTTGAAAGATGCCCTTGTACCTCTCTTGTTCCTGAACTGTTATTTCCTTTCTAGAATGAATGAAGAACAGATAGCTACTGTCTGTCTGTCAGTGCTGAGAGCTCTCTCCTACCTGCACAACCAAGGAGTGATTCACAGGGATATAAAGAGTGACTCCATCCTCCTGACAAGTGATGGCCGGGTAAGATTTTCACGTTGGGTTCCTCCTTCATCACTTCATCTGTCATGCACATTATTCTCTTAAGAACACTTTTTCATAATTCTAATTTTTTCTTAGTCACCAGTCACCCACAACACTTTCCAGAAGACTTACAAAAAGGAAATTGCCTTCCCATCCTCTGTGTCAACCTGTTCCTCTGAATTACCTGTGACCTGAATTGGAATGGGTAATTTGCCTCCTTTACAATGAAGTATAGGAACTAATGAAAGCTTTGAAAATTTCATTTTCTGTCACATTTCTCCTTTTGTTGGAGGAGAGGAGCTGACTTTTCTAGGGCTGTGTTTCTCCCCTTCCTGCAAATATCCATGTCTACAGGGTCTCTCAGAAGCCCTGCAAGAAACAGATGACAAGCTCCAAAAGGATAATTTGCAGAGAGGTTACTTAATAATATTTTATAAAAGTTCAAGCAGACATAGAAAATTCTTAAGGAATAGGGCACAAACATGAGTGCAATACTCAACAATAGACTACCATTCTACCTCATGCCTGAAAAACTGAGGCAGGGAACTGTTTGCTGGAATCTGGAAATAGGTTATAGTATTCAGGTCTGTCTGGCAGGAACTCTGAGTTTTGGTGAAATCCAGTCCATGGTAAACCTGTAGCATGTGAGCTGAGGATAACTACCCCAACCTCCCTCTGCCCCTTGTTTCTGTCATCTACTGATGCTCCCCACTGGCTCAACCCAGTCAGGAGCCATCACTACAGTCAGTGCAGATTGGCCTCCTAAGGCTCAGAGAAAGGAGGAGAATGTGTCTGAAAGGACAAACAGAAAATACTCATCACACCAGAATATTTCCATGCCCAACTTCTGCATTTCTCATCACTGCAGCATACCCAGAGGATTCTGTTTAATCTCAGCAGCTACACATGGTACAGAGCATACAACAATTAAGGAAATAATGAACTGCTGTTCCAAGGAAGGATTAGTTAGATAGGATAGTTCTGAAGCATAGATTTTATTTAAATTCCCTGATACTCCCACTAGAGTTAATAGCTCTGGGACAAAGAGCCAGTCATCCTTTTGATGTACCTATCTTTTATAATCCAGTAATCTTGGCCCTAAGGAGAATGTTCACATCACATCAGAATTGCCCAGAGATGATCAGAGAACAACAGGAGGAAACTTCCCAAGCACTTTGGCTTTTCTTACTTTGTTTTTAAAAGATTTTTTTTTTTTGTAGAGAAGTTAGTAAGTTCAGAATAGATGACAAAATAAAGATCACTCAATCCTACTTAATATTTTTCTGTCTTTCCATGTATACATAATTTGCAAACTTGGGATTATATTTAATGGGCAGTTTGTGGTCCTACTTTTTGCATTATTCAGGCTGAAATTTTTAAAAGCAGGACTACAAGGAGCATCTGTAAGGTTTTGCTATGTAACAAACCTCACAATACTTAATGGCTTAAAGCAAGAACCATTTATTTACTCACAAATCTATGGCTCATCATTCTGGGCTGATACCAGTGGAACAACTGGTCTCTGCTCATGTGGCACAAACTAATGAACTTGTGACCAGACTGCAGTTGATGGTCTCACTCACTTGCCTGGCAATTGGCTGGTTTTCAGAAGACACAGGAAGGTCACCTGGCCCCAACCAAGTATTGTTTGTCTCCCAGTAGAGTAGACCTGTAATTCATATGTTGCTGGTAGCAAGGTCCCCAAGTATAGCAAGACAAGTAAGCCCTGTTGCAGATCCACAAGCTCTTTCAAACCCTGTGCTTACATAATGTATGCAAAAGTAAGTCACACCACACAGCCAAGCCTAGATTCAAAAGGTGGGGAAATAGATTCCATGTCTTGATAAGACAAAATACAAAGTCTTACTAGAAAGGGATATAGCCCAAAGGGAAGGGAAGAGTCAGCGTCCATTTTTGCATAATCTTCCTAAAACAGAAGTATAGGAAAAGAGCAAGAATTCTTCCTTGGCCCGATTCAGAAAGCACCTAGGCCCCACAATCTCAAATTCAGTTTGCAAAACATGGAACTGGCCCATGAATCAGTATAAGTGGTCCACTTGTACTACCAGAAAGAAAAAAGAAAGCATGGAGATTTCAAGACAACCCTTCTTTGCCTGGAGATTGATGTTGCAGGCCTCCTTGTTGGAAGTACCTATCTGATGTCAAAATCAGACAGCAAACTAAGATAATAATTCCTTGTTTCATTAGCTCACTTAAAGATCTTCCCTCCTCTCAATGTGCAAGATAATTAAATCTTTCAGTTGTTATTCTCAAGGGAAGAACCTTTGTCTCAAAATCTCCTGTACTGCTATGTACCCAGCAAAGAGCTCATGGGGCCAGGCACATTGGAAGTCCTTAAAGTCTTGGTGGCTTTTTATGCATGTCATTTCATAAATATTTGCTGAATGTCTACTATGTGCTAGGGATGAACAAAGCAAAATCACTTCTTTCATTAAGCTTATTTAGGGGTTGGAAATGTGGTAATAAACAAATATATTTTTTTAAAAAAAATTACCACCAGACAAGAAGTGCAAAGTGCTAAATTTTCTGTAATTGATTTAAGCAGAGTAAGGATTATGGAGCATAAGGAGCCTGGAGCTCTATTATAAAGGCCAGTCAGAGAAGGCCCCTCTGATGCAGTGACATCCCAGAAGAGGTTTAGGAGGAATTGGATCTTTTAGCTGTCAGAGGTAGGAGTCTCCCAAGCAGAGAGAACAAATTGCATGTTTGGTGGATCTGTGCCTCTTGGCTGTGTAACCCAAAGGTTTTTCATTCACATTTCAGAACTTTATACCATATTGATTCTAATGGGCTTCTTCAGTTTTCTACAAAACAAGGAAACTATTTTTTTTTTTTTTTACATAAAGAGAGCTGAGTGTGAATAGTCTGCAAAAAAAAAAAAATCTGAGAGCACTGAATACTGAAATACTGAACTCTTAGAGCATATTGAGAAGACTATTTTAGTTATTTTATTTTATTGCTATTATAACAAAGCACCTCAAGGTCATAGGTCAATGAGCTTTTGAGCTGTGTCTCAACAGCTCTGAGGGTTGGCTGGGCTCAGCAAGGCAGTGCTGCTCTGACCTCTGGTTAGATGATGCCTGGACTGGGGTCTTCTAGAAGTCTTCCCCACTTACATATAAGATAGGTAGTGGTAGCTGGTGACTACAAGGTCAGTTGGAAACTATTAGCCAGAACAACAACAATGTGGTCTCTCTGTGACACTTGGGCTTCCTCATGGAATGGTAGTTGGGTTCCATGAGTGGATTCCAAGAAAACAAGGTGGAAGTACATGGCATTTTTGTAACATAATCACAGTATCAAATAGTGTCACTTCCACCATAATCACAAGTCCTTCCAGATTCAGTGAGGAAGAAAGGATGGAATCCTCCTCAGTGGGAAGAAAATTAAAGTCACGGTATAAGAAAAGCTCATGAAATGGGTTATACTATTGTTTGCTCTTTTAAAAAATACTGTCTGCCACACAAGAAGTACTGGATTCTCTTCCTGTTGGGAGATATTGAACATCATTAGAGAAATGCAAATTAAAATTACAATGAGGTATCACTACATACCTATAAGTATGGCTAAAATGAAAAACAGTGATAACACTGCTCATTCATACGTTGTTGGTACAACCACTCTGGAAAAGAGAGTGGTACAACCACTCTGGAAAACAGTTTGCAGTTCCTTTCAAAACTGGGGATTGTGATGGAGTAATTTATATTCCGTGCATGTATGAATATGCCAAAATGAACCCCAGTGTTATGTATAACTATGAGTCACTAGTAAAATATTTAAGAAAACTAAAACTGACTTACCCTATAACCAGTATCTACACTCTTGTGCAGAGAAATGAAGCTTATTTTCACATAGAAACTTATGTACAAATATAATAAAGCTTATTTGCACATAGAAACTTATGTACAAATATTCATAGAAGTTTTTTTCATAACAACCTCAAACTGGAAACTCCCCAAATGTCTTTCAGAGGGTGAATGGTTAAATAAAGTATGGTGTGGTCATACCATGGAGTACTATTCAACAATTAAAAGAAGAACAAACAATTGACACATACAGAAAGTGAATGAATTTCCAGGAAATTATGCTGAGTAAAAAAACAAAATCCAATCTCAAAAGGATACATGTTGCATGGTTCTGAGTATATAATATATGTGAAATAATTATAGATATCCACAGCAGATAAATGGTTGCCTGGGGCTAGGAACAGGGGATGTGCAGTTATGAAGGGATATCCTAGGGAGTCTTATGGTGATGGTTTGTAATATCTTGTTTGTGGTGGTGGCTATGCAAGGCAACATGTGTTAAAATGTCAGAGTATACACACACATAACACACAGATAGGTTCATATAGACCTGATAAAATCTGAATAAGCTCTGTGGGTTGTCTCCACATCAATTCTTTGTGTTGATATTATGCTGTACCTTGATAAGAGGCTGATAGTATGAAGGTCTAGATGCACATTTTTTTGGCAACTTCTGTGAAGCCATGATTGCAAAATCAACAAAAAATGACAGGAACTTGCTCAGACTGAAAAGAACAAATTATTTCTGGCTTCTTAAAAGCCTGGAAGAAAACTTCCTTTATATCAATTAAAAGAAAACCATTTCCTAATTACCTATGACATATATAATATCTGATTAGTCATTGATTTCTGGTAAGCAGCAGAGCAGTCCCAGAACACGTGCTGGGTATTGGGTATGTAAATACACCAGCTCTCTCATTTGGTAGAATAACTGAGAGTCACTTGTTCTGCACAGTCCCCCAGACTTCTTCAGCAAGATTGAGCTCTAATTGCCCATAACTAGCCTGGTAAATAATCTCTAAATAATTCCCTTCCTTATCATACTTGGCCATATCACTGCTAGTATTTCTTACATCTTCCAAATAAATGACTTGCACTGAGTTCTTGCCTAGGGATGTGCTTCTGGGGTATTATAAACATGGTGCTTGGAAACAGTGATATGTTTGTGCCCTG